TATTAATAAAAGCCGACTTGTGTTATATTTTTCTAAAGGGATGCTTGGAAGTCTTTAGGCAGCATGTCCAAGGATGAAGCGATGACTGCGTACGTTGAAGAGATGAAAAAGGTACAGTCCATTGCAATAATTTTATGTTTACTCATTTGAACAAAACACAGAAAAACCACTTTTCCTGTTTAAAATTCAGATCCTGGAGACAATGCCAATGACGGAGAAAGTGGAGGAACTGCTACGCGTTTTGGGACCGTTCTACGAAATAGTGGAGGACAAGAAGATGATCACCCAAGTATCTGACCTGACCTCAGGTGACTGACCACATGTAGCTACACCGAGGGAAATTCTGTAAGATCGAGCTGAGAGTTTGTGCATGGTGATGCAGGAGTTAGTTAGCCATCCCTTTATCAAAATAATATAAGTTTATTCATACGGTAGCAGTATGCATAATGTCTCAATTTTTCCTGAAGGTTATTGAGATAGATTATCAAAATCTTTGATATTCATCACCTATGAAGTCTAGGCAGAACTGCCTAAAACAATTGCATTTTCAAAACAGATTAGTGACCATCATGTATGCCCTTAATAAGGAAATCATCTCTGTGATTTTTACTTATTTTGGAAATGTTTACAGGACATAGATTATTAAACTACTGTATCGTGTATAAATTGAACCTTCGTAGAAAATACCATGCCAAACTTTTCATTGTCTTTTCTTTGTAGCTAAACAATAGTCTGCTCTTCAGTTTGCTTCCCCCACATGTAAAACAGCACAGTACATTAACATAACATTTTTCCTGTTTTTAGACAATTCTCACTGCTCACTGTTGTATTTTTTAAAAACTTCAGAATTTGCATAACTGGTAAAAATATTTAAGAATACCTCAATATTTGAGGGGGATATGCAAAATTTCCTTATACAATGATTGTTTTTGGAAATTAAACCGACTTTCTTCTGCAAGCGAGATAACATTGCCCCCAACTCAAATTTAGAAATGAATATATATTTTCTTGCAGAGCAAAAATGTCTGCTTGATCTTCGGATTATAACTTTTGAAAGTGCAGAGTTGACAGAAGTGTAGTGTAGGGTTTTTTTTTTTAGTTGTTTTACTTAGAATTTGGGGAAAGGATAGAAGCAGAGGAGTAGCTTTTGAACTGGGGTGAAAAGCATGAAAGGTTTTCCTGCTAATGCATTCATCAGCATTAATATAATTATTGTTTGCTTCTGTTTCTTGCTCAGCCCGATTGGAAAAATTTGCTAGGTCACTGGAAGGCAAGTGTGTTCTTGTGTGGTCTGTGCCATCTTCATTAGTGTCCGGCTCCCGTTAGTGTCCGTGGCTTAGTGAGCTCTGTACAAAACCATTGCTTTGTAGCGCCATTGTTCCTGTTGGTTCTGTGTATGACCAGCGTCTGAAGATGAACACAAAGTACAGAAGTATCAGTGTGTGGTTATATAAGCTGTGGCCTAAACTGGATCAGAAAATGTTAATGCACATCGGAGGAGTAGCTGATGTTTTACAAATCTTGGCTACTTCTGGACATCGAACTATGTTCAGTATTTAATATGGAGCGTACATAAACATGGTCCATAGATGAATATGTGAGTTCCGTACAGAGGTCAGGTTTGTCATGTAGTCTTCCCCAGGTTTTTCTCTCATCCCTTCCTTTGTCCACCAGC